CCTGTATATAGAAATTTTAAAGGATTATTTTTTTCTTTATTCTTGCAAGATTAAAAAAAATTGACCTGGGATTTAGCTCAGTGGTTCTGGCGTCTGTCTTTCATGCGCCAGGACCTCAGTTCGAACCCTGGTACCAAAAAAAAAAAGAAAAAATGTCTATCAACTCCTACTCTCTGGAACAAATTGCCAAAGTATGATTAAAACAAATGTAAGGGATATTTTATCTCAGGTTGCCAAAGGAATCACTCATTCAGCCAAATTTCTAAGGAAGAGTGGGACACCTTCTAGAAAGTTCTAAGGAAAAATAGTAAATGAGGCACCAGGGCTGATTCAGGCAAAGCCATCTTTCTGGTGCCTGACTCTCATGAATAATGTTGTGTGAACTCATAAGCCTGCCTCCTTTATCATGGGGGACCTTCTGAAGCATGGCATTCCTGGGCTTCCCTCTCCATATTTCCCTCAGCTTGCCATATGCAAGGCCATGTAGATCCCAGGCTCCTCAGTCTTAGCCTGAACCCTTAAAAACAGAGAAGAACTTGACCCTGCACTAGACATGCTGGACTGGAGGCTACGGAGAGGTCTAATGAAAATCACCAATGCTGCTAGGCGTGGCATGGTATGGTTAGTAGGACGTGAGTTTCACAAGGGACACCTGGAAATGCACAGGTGTCTTCCTGCGGGGGGCACCCCCTGAAGAATTTGGACCCTGTGTCTGCACTCTTTGTAGAGTACCATGGAGTTTCCACTCATAGGGGCTCTACCTGTAGTTCTATTTGCGGGTCTAGAAGAAACCTGGAAATGATGATAAATGGGCACAAAATTTCAGCTTGTGTTATAATAATGTTCCTCAGATTTTTATTTAAAAGGCAAGAAAAGTTGTGTAAATTCTTTATGCTTAGGCTTTTAACCTCTTTATCTCTGGAAAGACCTCCAAAGTATGGCACTCAGAGGACTCTGAGAAAGTGAAGAATGCTCTCTTTAATAATCCTGTTCTCACAGGCCCACCTATCTCTCAATGGACATAAAACTGTCCCTCTCCTTCCAGCAGAACCCAATCCCCCAAGAGAACCATGATTTTAAAAATACGCAGAAAGACTAGCAGATAGGCCACCACACCCCTGTGCTGGAGGTGGCCTTTGCTGTGTTCAACAATCAGAACCTCCATTGAGATAACTGTAGAAGGGCAGAGAAAAAAGGACAGAACAAAATTATAGTTGAAGCAGTTGTTACTGCTTTAAACACACCCAAGTCTTCAATGAGAAAACCCAGGTCCAATCAAAGTCTCCTTTAAACAGAAGAAAACTAGATAGTCATCACTTTACCTTACAAAGCCACCTCCTAGGCCCTCTTCTTTGGTTAGGTGGCCTATGTGTCTTACTCTTGGCATTTGGGATGGAATTTGCCCACTCAAAGCAAGGTGTAGGCCTGCAAAATCCCTCACCTCCCACTCTGAGAAGAGCACAGAAGGCTCAGGGAAATCTGCAATATTCCTCTCCATGGACATCTTCATCTCCCATGAAAATGCATAGGTCGCCCTGGATGTCAAGGGAAAATAAATTTGCTCCATTTAAAATCATTTCTCTTGAAAATCCTCCTGTAGATCTAAAGCATGACTACAAAACAGGGGACCCCAAGTTGAAGCTTCTTTATAACTTCTCACATGTTCAATTTTAGGTAAAGTATTTCAAATTTCCCTATCTGGTGCTATGTGCTCATGCTGCAGTCTGGAATAGGGGGCTTGCTTATTCAGAAATAAGATCCCTAAAGGCAATCTATCTTCTCAGTCAGGTTACAGTTATTCACTACAAATGATAGGTCTAAAGCCTTTTTGGAACATGAAAAGGCTGAAAGAGAAGAATCAAGGGCAGTATTCCAAAAACAGAAGAAGATCCTATCATTATTTGCAGTTCCCGAAGAACAATTAAAACCAGTCTAGATAATGAACTGAAACTCCCTCAAACAATGATGTCACTAGGTACACCAACCCTGCATGGAAACATATCATGTCCATAATCTCAGGGCTAGGACTACTTGTGACCACCAGACCTATCTGCAAAGCTTGACCACTTTGATTGCAATAAACTGGCAAGCCCAGCACACTTTCTTATAAAAATGTACCTTCTGTAATCTCAGGAAGATCTCAAGCTCCTATTCAACAAGCAACACTGCAGTTCCACTTTGGGTATAGATAAGTGGAGACATTAAATGACCCGAAACCCATCACAGCTTAAATGAACAGTGTAATAAGACTGCTGTTTATAATTATGTTAGGGTTACAGGTATACTGTTTCTTGTAATTTATCTGATATTCATGAGAATAACACATAGGCAGTTTTAATGTCAGCATTATCATTTATAAAATTACTTTTGCAGTTATTCAAATTTTTTTAAAAACATCATGCTAAGTTTCTCACATTCCATTATATAAAACAGGCTGTAAAGCTGGGCATGGTGGCCTGTCTCTAACCCAGCACTCAGTAGCCTGAGGCAGGAGGATTGAAAGATTGCTATGACTTGGAGCCCAGCCTGGATTTCGTAGTGATGTTTGCACCAGCTTGAACTATGGAGGGAGGCTCTTTCTCAAAAATCTGGAAAAAGGCCCTTAAAATAATGTTGTAGACAGGATGTAAAGATAAAAGTGAATATTTGACCACTTGAAGTCCCTGCCCAGCACTGCACCCCGAGGAAGGCAGTACTGGGTGTGGGACTGCTGTGAGGGACAGGCCACCCTGACACCCTCACAGTCCATGAGCTTTCTAGCCAGCAGTGCCACAGAAGGTTGTCCAGGGCAACTGACCTTGCTGCTGTGCTCCAGGGCTGATCCCTTCCATGAAACTCCTCTGCTTTTTCCCCAGAGTGAATGCAGCTCCTAGGTTAGGAGATTTTCTACCTTTTGGGACCTACAGCACACACGCAGCCATACACATAGAGCACTTGAGGAAAACAATCAAAGTTAAACTGACTTCCTACTAATAACATCCCATTTTTTTTTCTGAAATAAAGATAGGAGCATACCCTAACTGTGCCTTTGTTGGTTGTGCCCTCACTTCTGCATCTTAAGCCATTTTCACTACTTTTCTTTTAGGAAATCTTCCTTCCAAGAAGGGGAAATCAGTCATCACATACAATCAGGCATTAAATTGGGCAGTGAAGACACATCTATGTGTCTAAGTGAAAAGGAACTTTTCTAAAGAATGGGACTATTGAAGCTTACTTTATAACTAATACATGTCACCTGGGATCATATTCAACAAAGCTTCAAGTAGCATAGTTTTATGCAGCCTCATAAAATGGGAACAGTGAGGCTGTTTTCCTGTATGTTTTCAAAATTCTGAAACATCATCATCTGATCATTTGGACTTCTCACAGATAGGAACATAATATTAGACAGAAGGACAACGTATTTTGTTTTATTTAAGAACTGGACGTTCCCATATATTTTAATGTCTACCTGTTGTTATATCATAGTTTGTAGATTATAAAGTGTCTCCTGAAAATATACTGATAATCAAACATAAGTTTTAAAATGTCTGTCTTTGTTAGTTTCTACTAGAAAATAAAATGTCAATAACTGAAAAAATTTTATTAAAAAATAAGAAAATTACATATGTGCATTTATGCTATAGTCAGAGTTTTATTCAGAGGCTTGAGAATTAACATCCTTTCTTCTGTTAAGATTCCTAGCCATTTATTTTGGGGAGCTCAGCCACACTGGAAGAGACAGACTGAGTCTGTGCTCGGCTTCCTTCCTGTCTGGACTCACCCAGATGGGCTGAGAAGGCAGGCACCAGCCACTGAGCCAAAACTACCTGGCCTTCATTACTTGACTTTACTAGTAGGGTAGTCAGGGTAAAGTCTCTTGGAGAGTTCAGAGGAATGAAGAAATTAAAAAACACGAAAACTCTCCCTCTACTCTGCTTGTGCTCTGTCCAGTCAGCAACATGCCATTCACCAAAGTAAACAAGTTCAACTAAGATATGAGGAATACAGAAAGAGATTACAACACCTCAGTGAGAAAGCTGTAAATACTTATAGATGCCTAGGAATATGGTGTGTTGGAGAATGGAATTATAAATTAATCTGCCATGAATTTAATATTCTAAATTTTAATAACCATAGAAATAATCAAATAAACAAATTTGGATTTTGGAGAAGTGCTTGTGTTCAGTAGGCTAAAGCAATGTGGGAGATAAAATAATTTCTTTCCTACATATTTCAGGATTTGGGGCTGAGGCCACTGTAACAGCAGACCAATGCTTGAGAGTAAAATATGCACATTTACTTAATCATAACTGGTAAATGACTAAAGTGACTGTAAAAGGAAATGAACCACCAAAGTATCTGGGATACTTGTGATGTAGAGAACTTTTGTAAATCATCTAAAAATCTACAAAATATTAGAAAAATGTAAAATGACTTTTGCTGCCTCTAATAGAAATCTACTTTGTTTAGTTCAAAATTAACAGACACTGGTGGTATTAACCATGAAATGGGCTACTTGGCCTCATTCCTGACCTTGAACAATACCTTCCTGTGAGCTAGAATAGACAGCTAGATGACTCTTAAGGCAAATTCCCTAAGTGAAAGGAATTGGTATGTGTCAGTCAAAGTGATCTGTCTTGTTACTATAATTTGTATATTGGTAAAATGAACTGAGGAAATGAAATGTAACCACTTGAATGAGCTCATAGCTGTAAAACCTATAAAAGAGGAAGCTGTAACCCGATAGGAGGAGGTGCATCACCAGCACTGCCTTTTTGAGTGTTATTCAACCTTTTGACTGGCAAAATAACTTTTATTATTTTACTTCCATTCCGCACTTCACTGTACATGTCACTTACCAATTCCTTTTGCAATATTTGGTGTGTTGGCCAGGAAGGAAAAGCTTAACTGACACAGCTCATGTTGGGCCAAACCCGAGTCCCACAGGAAGGAGTGGCTGTCCACCTCCTCAGAAGGGAAGAGGTACACCCCCAGGATTTCCTGTGTTCCTTCTCTAGTACTCAGAGGCCAGCTCCCTGACAGCAGAACACATGAACCCAGAACAGATACAGCAAAGGAAGGCAAGTGAGTGAAATCGTCTTTCTGAGTGGTGAGATTCCCTGGGCAACCCCTAGTTTGTTTTGCTTTTGATTTGGTTCTTGAATGAATGTTTTGACAGATTAAAGATTGGAGGCCTGATTGCCTTCCCTTCTCTGCTGTTTGTGAGTGTTTATATCCTCAGTTTGGGCAAAATGTAGGCTGCAGGCCTAATCATCCTAAACTTTTCACCCTTTTTAAGGGTTTGATTGTCCTCAATTTGTAATTGTGCTTTGTAAGTGGCCCCAGTGAGGGAATGCATTAACTTCTTCTGTGATTGTATGTGTGAAATAGATTTGATTAGGAGAATGAGTGGAAAGAGCTATGAAAGCAATTGGTAACCTAGTCTGTGCATCAAGGCAAAGGGAGAGGGTGTTTATGCTTAAAGTTCCCACCCTGAGTCCCAGAGCTTGTGTGTGGCCAGTTTCTGTGATTCTGTGGCCAGTGTCTAATATGAACAAAACAGAACACTTATGTGGCAGTGTCCCTTAATTCTAATGTGGCTGGCTGATAGTGGTTGAGAGACCTCATGGCCGAACTGGTGAGTATGTGTATAATTCCTGCCCTATGTTTGTCCTGTGTCACCAAAAAGGGAATATTTAGTCATCATGGGAAATTCAAATACTAAATCAACTGTTCTTGAGTGCGTGATTCAGAATTTTAATAAAGGTTTTGTGGGGGACTATGGAGCAAAATTAAGCACAAAAAACACCCAGGAAGGTTTGTGAGTTATCAACTAAGCCAATCTTGGCCCCCAGAGGGAACTCTAGACAAAAGAAAAATGATCTCCCTTTGTTTTTAACTAAGACTATTACAACTTGGAGCCTGTGTGCTTTGTTTTGGGGCCTGAAAAACCCAGCCTAGGAGCCACTCATGCTTCGGCTCCATGGCAATCAGCTGTTGGTGAGAACTGTTTAGTTTTGGTCTTAGAGCAACTGTTTGCCAAATCTGCTGACCTTCACACGGTGTACTTGGCTCTCTCAGAAAATGTGACATTGTTACAGGCAAATCCCAGTGCTTCCCTTTTGAAGGAGGTCAAGCTGCCTCCCCCTCTGCTGGAATTGCTAAGATCACAGATGCAGAGGAGGTGGGAGGAAAACATGAGAAGAAATTCTTGGACTTTCTGCACCAGAGGGTGCACATGGGAAACCATGGTCACAATCTTAGAGAATTGAACAGGGCTTGCACTCAGATTACAAAGAACTAAAATGAGAAAAAAAAAATTCAATGTATTGAAAACAGCTAGGAAAGTTCTAAAAACCACAAAGGAAAACAAAGAGAAAAAACACTCAAGGCTTTATCAGTCTGATGCTGCCTGCAAAGGTCTGGAATCCAAAACAAAGCCAGAGAAACTGCAATCATGTTTATCAGGCATCAAGAGATTATACAAATTTTATCAAGTTACAAATTTTAACTATTTGATAAATGTATCTTTGTTTCAATTTGAATTGATATTTTATTTGTGTGCTTGAAATAATTCTTGTGCACTGCAAATTCTTGAATTGTGACTATAGGGTTAACTTCTCTTTTCTGTACTTTGTTGATGAAGAACTCAAGCTTAATACTGTTCTATTGACAGCCAGTCAAATTTTAAAATGTAACAGTCTGAAAACAGAATAAATAAAGGGGACACTTTAAAATTTTAACAGTTTAATCAAGTGTTTAAAGGTGGGGAGGGGAGGAGGGGGTGAAGGGAGGGTGGGAACAAGGGGAAAAATGAGAACCAAGACCCGGCATGTAAAGGTAAAAGACCCCAGTAATGAATGTAACTGTACTGTCTACCTAGAATGTACCAATAAATTCAATTTTAAAAAATGTTAACAGCTGAAGACATTTGTTATATATAGAAGGTTTATAGTAAGTGATACAGAGGATGAAAAATACTAACAAAGCTATAAGTAGCAGAGATATACTTTTTATATGAAAGGATTTTGCGTGTTTTTCTTGTTAGAAGGATAAAGAGAGATATACAAGACCGGAAGGCCTAGGTACATTAAGAAAGTGTGTGGAAGTGATTTATTGAGGAAATATGTATGTTTGTGTGTGGGCTTCAAGTTTGTTATAAAAGGCTTGCATTTATAGGCATAAGAGACATCAGTAAAAATTACTCAAATATGTTGTTATGAAATATTTACATTGGTTGTCATCAAAGGGTTGAACTCTAAATGTCTTATTGTAATATGTTTATAATGGTCATTTTTCAAAGTATAATATTTGCTATGGAAAAACAAAGAGTATTAAAAGAGATAGCCCCCTTGTTCACAAACTCTGATAGCTGCAGTTACACTAATTAAGGAAGCTGACAAACTATCCTTATGACAGGACTTGACTATTCAGATTCCCCATGCCTTTCTAGAACTGTTCAATAATAGAGGATATCAGTGGCTTTCAAATAATGGGGTCACACAATATCAGGCCCTCATCTGTGAGAATTCTTGCCTATGTTTTGTTCCAATTAAAACCTTGAATCCCCACTACCTTTTTGCTCTCAGATCCTGGGCCCCTCATCATGACTGTCTCAGTATCACCAAGCTTTTCTCAAGTCATCCTGATCTGCAGAAAAATCCAATGTTTGATGCTGATTTCATCCTGTTCATGGATGGGAGCAGTTGCATTAAATATGGGGTATGCTCTGCTAACTAGGCAGTAACAACTCAGGCTGGAGTGGTCCAAGTGGAATCCTTACCTCTCAGATGGTCAATTCAGTGAGCAGAGTTTTGGGCACTTATACAGGCTCTACAAAGGCAAAGGGAAAGAAGGTAAATGTTTATACAGATTCCAATTATGCCTTTGGCACTTTACATGTCCATGGCATAACTTACAAAGAGTGTGGTCTTCCCACAGTGGAGGGTAAACAGATTAAGAATAAATAGGAAATAATACAGTTATTGGAGGCAGTGTGGGAGATGATACACTAGCAGTGAAGTACTGCTCTGGGCAGTGAAAAGGAAAAGATGCAATAGCAAAAGGCAATGCTAAGGCAGATAAAGAAGCCAAAAAGGCAGCTAAACAAAAACTTCACATGGCCATACTCACCCATGCACAAAATAGGAATATGAAGATATAAAGGCCCCAAACTATTATAAAATACTCAGATAAAAAGGGCAAATGGGCCAAGAAACAATTGGCTGAAAAACAAGGATTTGTTTAGATTTTACATGAGAACAAAATAATGATACCAGAGACACCATCTTACTATTGGATTAAAAGATATCATGATTTGACCCATGGAGGAAAGACAGCTCTCCAACCACTGTTAGAAAAATATTTCTTCACACCTCAGATTTCTGCTTTGTGTAAGCAAATCTCAAAAAGATGTCATATTTGTCAAAAAATAAACCCGACTTCAGGGCCCAGAGCACCAGCTAGAATACAATGGAAGGGCACAACTCCCTTTGAGGACATGCAAATAGATTTTAGAGAAATCTCCCTTTGCAAATGTTATAAATATTTATTTGTTGGTGTTTGTACACTCTGGATGCTTGGAGCCTTTCCCAACAAGAACAGAGAAGGCTTCAGAGATATGCATGATTTTACTGGAAGAGAAAATTTCAAGGTTTTGTCTGTCTTTCTCTATAGGCAGCAATAACGGGCCAGCATTTGTGGCAGAGATTGTACAAAATCTAGCAAGAGTATTACATATAAAATGGTACCTGCACACTGCTTATCAGCCACAGAGCTCTGTTAAGGTAGAAAGAATGAATTGTACTATTAAGAGGGTATTAACTAAATATTGTCAGACAGCACCAGGGTCATGGGTTGCTTTGCTCCCTTTAGCCCTCCTTAAAATGAGGAATACCAAAAGTTATATGTATTCTCCCCATGTGAGGTCTTGTTTGGAAGGCCACCCTGTATCTTAAGACTTTACAGGAAATTCATCTCAGTTAGGTTCATTCAGTATGAAAGTACAGCAGTTAAAATTGGGAAAAGTGTTCCAAAGTTTCCATGGAAATATTAGAGAAATAGGATCTCTTTGTGCTAACCCCTGCCTATTTGATAAAGCCAGGAGACTGAGTTTATGTTAAAAATTAAAAATGACCCCTTTGCAACCTATATGGGAAGGACCATATGAGGCACTTATGGTCACTCCCACAGCTGCCAAGGTGGCTGAAGTCCAACTGTGGATTCATCACTCTAGGTGAAGCAAGCTTATCCAGAGAACTCCACAGACTGCAACTCCAGGAGACAGTACATTCAAGGCCCCGCTCCCACTGCTTTGAAGGTTGAGAGTCAATGGACAGCTAAAAAACTAAGAACTATAAAAAAGATACTATGGACTACTTTATGGTATCAGGTGGTAATGGGATATTTTGTTTTTAAATAAATAATTTGTAAGACTAAAGATAATAATTTTGATAAAAATATGTAATCCTTAAAACTGTTAAATGGGGACCAGAGGGATATCCCTCACACTTCTTTTGATGCCTGTCCAGAAGAACATTATGAAACCCAGATACCATACTTGACTGTGGGGGATATACCCAAAAAAAGATGTATTGTTCAGATAAAACTTATGGTTAAAAAGTTCTGCTGTGACCAGAAGTATTGGCATTTGTGATAACTGTAAGCAGGAGGATATAACCCTCTAAAATTGTGTATAAATCGGCCTTGGGAAACAAGATGGCTACAAGAAATAGTTTTTCATGTTTATACTAGATATCAGTCAACTGCTAGGCATGGGCTTCGGAGGTTAAAATGATGGATTTTATAGATTAAAAAGGTCTGGGAGACCCCCCTTCCAGAAATAGTTAAAATGACATCCAAATAATTACACAGGAATAGATATAATGGATTTAATTGATGGAACTCATTCACTACTGCCACAGGAAGACCAAGAATTAGCTTCTGATTGCTGGCTTTGTGCACCACTCACCATGATAACTTATCAGACAAGTGATATCATGAGTGGCCTGCCCTTCAAGCCACTAAGGCTTGCTATGTCCCCTTTACTCAGCTAATCATTAGATATAATTGGTATGAATTCAAGGAGAGGTAAGGAGTTACCCCCCAAACACAGGGAAGAATGATAGAGGGAACTTTTGTAAGTAATGTAAAAACCCACAAAATATTAGGAAAATCTGAAATGACTTTTGCTGTCTCTAACAGCAATCTGCTTTGCTTAGTTTAAAATTAACAGACACCAGAGTCATTGACCATCAAATGGAACATCTGGCCTTATCCTTAACCTTGAACACCCACTTTCTGTGCACTAGATTAGATAGCTAGAGGAATGTTAGATAAACTCCCTAACTACAAGGAATTTTTATGTCTGAGTTACAGTTAACTGTCTTGTTACTGTAATTTGTGCATGGGTAATGTAAACTGAGGAAATGTAATGAAACCATCTAAATGAGATCATAGCTGTAAAACCTATAAAAGAAGAAGCTGCAACCCAATATGTGGTTGATCACTGGCACTACTCTCAGTGTGATCAACTTTTTGCCAGCAAAATAAACCTTTTATTTTACTTCTGTTCTGCATCTCTGTGTGTGTGTCACTTACCATTTCCTTCCATCACATGTGGACAATAGCACTGTAAATTTTCCTGGTCCTTTGAAGTAAATGAGGGTCTGGCTGACCTAGCCTTTCTTTGGGAGTGAGGACCATCAGACTTTTAGTGTCCCAAGTAGGTCACATTAGCTGTCACATATGGAGCAGAACCCAGGCTGAGGCTTGGTGCAATTTCATGCCCGATATCCAGGTCATTTGCACTTGAAACATAAAGCTTTCCTTTGCTTGTACCTGGGTTTTTCCTTAGATGATCTGTGTGTGTTTAAAGCATTACCAATTGCAGTAGCTATAGTTTTAGGCTTTTTCTTTTGTCCCTCTGGTTTCTGATTGTTGAACACAGAAATAGTCATGTCTAGCAATTACTTATAAATATCTCTGGGCTCATCTGAAGTTTTTGTAGTTCATGCCAAATAATATCTGGGACTGTGAACTTGAATTTATTATTCAAATGCAAATTGAGACTGAGAGTCTGGGTATAGGGGGATGAAGAAAAATATGCTTTTAAGTCTAAAACTGAGAAACAATTAATGTACCCCAGAATTTTGTAGAGAATTTTATATGGATCAGCCAGTAGAGGATGGAATGGAATGACAGGCTTGTTAATGAGGCAATGATTCTGCACCATCCTACATTATCATGATTAATATATTTACTAAAGTCTCAACACACTTTGTCTCCCTTACCAGAGCAGCTGGCAATGGGATAGTTCTGATTTATTGCCCTGCAGATTATAAGGAGGAGATGGAAGAGTCATTATCATCAGACAGGTCAAAGAGACCCTCATCTCCCTGAGACAAAAATGGGAGTCTCAGAACGGATTATTCAGGATATCTATTTTTCTTTCTTGAGACCTTCAATTAATGCCATAGTTCTTGAGCATTCTGTTTGATAGAAAGTTACAAAAGCCTGAACATAAGGCATTTCATTCCACCTTTTATATTTTAAGCAGAAACACTGTAACTAAAGAATAATACAATAATTTATAAAGAACCACCCTGTATACTCTTTTGTTACATTCTGGATCATACTGAACTTAGGCTATATTGTAATAGTATATAACTTGTTCGAGGTTTAAACTGTCAGGATCAAATCTGTCCCATTCATCAAGAATATGGCCTAATTGCAGGGTCAGTAGAATTTTTGTGATGATGAAATGCAATAGATTTTCCATCTGCTTGTCGGGGGACTTATAGAGAGAAGGAGAGTGCTAGGCCTGCACTCTTTGAAGTCAATAAATGGTTCAGACCCCCATTTCTATTTATTGAACTTGCCTAATTATTTCATTCCCATGAAGTAATGGCAGAACTTTCCCAAGAAAAGTTTTTTTTTTTAACCACTTAGCTGAACCTCATGATGGCCAAATTTAGATTTATTTTATGCTGCAGAATTTGTTGAAGAATTAAAGAAATAGGGAAGACCACTGGGTATAGAAGAATTTATTGCTGAATTTTGACTTAGTTGGAACCCTGTCCAAAAAGACTGAGCAATAGACAAGTATTGTTTTTGTTTTTGGTATTTGGTCTCTCTAGTGATGTGAAATTAGGAAGGAGTGGGAAAAAGAGGTTACAGAAACACAAAAAAAATGTTAGTCATATCTTACATGATAACAGTTTTGTTCTTGTGAATCTTGTGAAAACAGGTCATCATGAACCTTGTTTAGAGGACACAGTTGCCAATCTTATCTGTATCTTTTGATAGTTTATAATTCTTTAAAAGTTGAAAGAATTCATTTACAGGAATATAACTGTGTGCCCTATTAGTACCATGGAGAGGTCATTCTAGAAAGAACGCAGATTCATGGGAAATCAGGTCATTACAGGGCTGTCTGTCATCAAGAATCTTTGCTGTTTACTTTATCTGTAGCAGAGTGGAGTTCAGTAGTTATACATGAAGCTGCAAACAAAATGCAGACTTCTTTTTGAAAAGAAAAGTGATTTTCTTTCAAGTTCTGCTTTATTCCTCCCTTTGACACTTTCTATAAGCAAGTTGTAAGAGAGTCATCATCATCTGTTATGGTTTGGGTGGGTCTAGATGTCTGCCCAAAGCCTCACGTGGTCATAGGCTTGATCTAGAGTGTGTGAAGCTAAAATTGATTCATGATACAATGCTCGGTTCAAGGGCACTAGGATTACGGGTGTGAGTGCTACCTGCCCTAAGTAGGCTGAATAAGATAAAAGGGGCAGGGAGATACTGTCAACTTCTCTTGTTAACTTTGCTGCCTTGTGTGAGCCATGTTGTTTTCTGCTCTGCCAGGCCTGTTTGTTATCCCTGCCTTGGAGTCAGCTGACTATGGACTGAACCTCTATGAACTCTAAGACAAATAAGTCCCTTCCCCTTTAACTTTTGGTGTCAAGTATCTTGTCTCAGCAATGAGAGAAAAGTAACTATCATATCACCTATTTTTATATCATATGTGGCAGTTTTCTGTTAAGTAGAGGCTGATGTTTAGTAAAGGCCATTAAATAAATAGGGGTATATCTGTCCACCAAGGACTGTAGTGGACTGAATGTTTTTGATCAACAAAAGCAAAAGGCAAGAAAGAATGAAGCATATACCTAGAATATCTAAGAACATTTCTGTTAAAGCTTTGAACCCTCCAAAAGATGAAAACCAATGCATAAATAGGGCATAAGGTGATAAACCTTTCCAACTTTCATCTGTAACGTGAGCTAGCTTTTGGATTCTGGCAGTTATGACTGAAATGAACTTGCCACTATCATCAATTTCTGGGTGACAGTAGGTCAGATTTAAATTTCCTATACTCTTCCATCCTGACCTAGGAAGCAATCTATGGCCAATCTATTCTGGTGGATGGTGTTTATCATATTGGAAGTTTGTTGAGCAAACAGGTTCAAGTCTCTTGATGTGTCATTGATGATAAGGTCAAGTACACCTTGTGACCTTATGATGTAGTTGAGCATGTAATTTGATGTCCAGTATCTTCCACCCGGGTCGCTGGGGCATTATATTGAGTGATCCTTTTAGAGGAGCCATTTGTTGTCTTCTCAATCTCTTATTTTTACTGGTCCTTTGGCCCTCTTATTAGTTTCTCCATAAATGTTAGATCTAGTTTTAAGGGGATTAAGAAGGATGGTCTAATGAACTCTAGTATGCATGCCCCTGTTCACTGGCTGCCAATGTCAATAATCTCACAAATCCAAGAGAAGCCAGGGAGTGTCTTCCACTCATGTTGGGCCTCTAATTGGTACCATGGGTGGTTCAAGGGGGAAAAAGAAAAAATAGATTTGAGAGAGATGGATACAACTAGTTTTGTTTTCCCCATCATAAGGTTTTTTTCTACCCTGTCCTCTAATATTGTTGTCCCAGACAAATTGTTTTCTCTACTGATTCTATGAATGTTTTTCCTAACAAGGTAATGTAGAACCTTCACATATGGAGTTTTAAAATACAAAATATTTGGATTTTGGTAGTCGAGTAAATGGGAGTTAACAGTAAGGTGAAAATGTATTCCAGAGACAATTTTCTTGCCTCCCATTGTCATTGGTCTCTCATAATTCTGTACATGCATAGCACGAGGAAACATTTAGGTTGTTTGCTATGTTCTGAGACAACTGAGTGAACAAGCTTCAGGATATGTAAAAAAAAAAACTGGGCAATTCTTGTGGAAGATATGCACAGACTGAGCCAAAAACTCCAAACATTTCAGTAGAGTTTGTTTGACTCTTTCTGATAAAATATACATAGGTTCTTGAGGGTGATGCCCCATAACCAAGATCATAGGGTAACCTGTAGCCCAGTCAGACAAGTTTACCTGCAGAACAACAAAGGTTACAAGATGATAGGTTTGTATCTGACAGTCTAGTTTTCTGGGTAACCTTGTGAAGCTGGCAACTTATTTTCCTGATGTTACCATTTGTACTTTGTGAATTTTTCTATAAGCCAGCTGATAGCCCAAGTCACACAATTCTAGCAGAACCATCTTGTTGTGAATAGCAGGGGCAAAAGCAATGCAGATCAATTTCTGAGGGACATATAAGAACACAGAAGTGTCCCTATAATAAATTTCCCATGTTATCCTCCCACATGAGGTTTCAAATGGGCTTAGATATACTGCTTGGTACATATCAAAGTACAAAGAAGGCCCCTTTATGGTTTGTAGGAGCCCTAGTTCTCTTTAAATGGACATCTTAACTGATGCTTTTTCTCTTGTATAGGCTTTAAACCAGGTTTCGTAAGGGGAGGATCTGGGGTCATAACAAACATAGGGCTGGTTATCCCCTGGCTCACAGACTCAGTAGGTTGTTTGATTGTGAGGAAAAGTTCCCAGTGCATCCCTCTACACTCATAATAGGTATGATATAACAGGGTCTTTGTAATTATGCTTCCCAAACAGGTGGCGTAAATGCAGTGGAAGCATTCCTCTAAAAAATTTCCCTGTGAACAAAGCAAGGAGACAGTTATAATAGAAAGCAAAAGAGACTTATGTGATCATCTCCATAATGGTCCTCAAGTTTCAGCTGTGGGTAGACTGATTAGCTTAAAGAGTGATCAGGGCAGGGCTGTCATTTCCTCAGGCTTCTGATTTTCACAGATTTATCAGATTCTGTGGTAAGTAGAGCAGGGCTGTTGTCTTTGGAGGTCGGTTGTTCTAATCACAAAGTGCTGGCTCAGCTGTTCTGGGTGTTGCTGGCTGGTCCACTGGTCTGGGGAAGCCTCTTTCAACAGACTGTGGTGGATCCAAAGCATGACTCTTGAAACTTTAACAGCAGTGGGGGTATACAAAATTACAGTATGGGGCCCAACTTATGTGGGGCCTGTGGTGAATTGATTAATGGGCCACTTATATCGCCCAGCTGAACTTATTCATTGTGGTCCAGGTGTGGAGAATCCACCTGAAAATTGTTATGGATAGGGCCAGGGATTTAGCTCAGCTGTTTGGTGTCCTGCCTTGCAAGCACAAGGATGCGA